TCCTTAACAGAAACCCAGTTTTGGGGCTCAAAGGCGGTATTTCCTAAGCACCCTTGTGCTGAGAAGACTCTCCCGGAACAATTCCTCAAAATGCAAGTTGTAAGTGTACGGATCTATGGTTTGTATTGACCGTTGAATCTCAGTCATCCATAGCCACCTGCCCAGAATCTGCACATGCCACACTTGGAGTGGGAAAGGAGCCAAAAGGAAGAACCTAGATCTGAAACACGCTCATACGGAGATTGTGCAGAATTGCGGGTTCAGATCTTAGCATCATCAACAGCATGCCAGTGACTCTGTAGAGAGAGCCATTTTGGGGGGGACAGAGCCAGGGAATAGAAAGATTTCGGCACCGGCAGGCCACTGCCACGCACCAGCCTCGGGTGGACCGCGCGCCTGCGGATGCGACTGAACATCAGGCCCTCTCTTGCGTACCTGCAGATGCACCGTATGGTGTCCTCTTTAGGAGCAGTCATTGCGGCAGAGCTCATGGGTTCAAAGGGTTGAGCCTGCAATCAGGGGAACTTTTTAGGTTGATTCAACGTGCATGGGCTAAGGCAAAGTGATATCATGGCGGCCTCAAGACTTGTCCTTCTACAGAGTTGGCTTTGAGTTGTTCTGGAGCACTGCAGTTTTGGAAGACCTGTGCGGGGCATTGCGGGGCCTTCCCTGCCAGTTTGTATGCCGGCTGCACTTTGGGCTAGGGCGCTGCATGCGCTCCTTCTGTTTTTTCTCCTAGCAGCAGGGCACGAGTGAGGTGGTCGCATGCTAGACCGCAACCGCAGGTAAACGCCTGCCGCAATCTGTGTGCCATGTGCATGTCAGCGCAAGTAACCAACTGCCTGTGCTATCCCAATTCTCTTGTTTAACCCCTGCTTTTACTGAACTTCTACTTCTTCTGCTACTTCTTCAGTGTTCTGGCTACTGCGACGACGGCTTTGTCAACCCAAGGATTGTTTTCAGTTGTAGGTTGTGTGGTTGTCGTATAGTACAGATGGTGTGATAAAGTCTGAGCACTAAGCCCATTAGTTTTGTTTCCTGAGCCTCTACAGCCTCCCTAAATCCCAAACCCGAAATCTCTACCATTCACAGCCCTTTCCTTCAAAACCGGCCGCAGCTTAATTAGGAAATGGAGGCCTCGATATTGTGATGTCCAATGTCTTGCTCATTCCTTTTCTGCATTCCCGTCTACGAGCCAGCACGAAATCCCCCTAATCCCTTTACCCTACAAACCCCTGTAAATCCTGAGTTTCCATGTTATTTTTCATTTGGTTTGCCATGTGGTTTTCCCGTCCCTTCTCTGAACCCTACATCCTTCACGCCAGACACTACAGTAGTATCATTTTTTGTCCATTCCTTCATTCCCGACTGGCAACCAGAAAGAAACTCCTAAGCCCTGAGCCCTACACATCCCTTGAAGCCCCGGGTTTTGATTTCAGTTTTTCATTTGCTGTAACTTACACACCTCCTATCTTACCCCTAAACCCTAACCCCAGAACCCTTAACCCAAGCCTTAATCCTGAACCCTCAAAGCCTGAATTCCCCGCCCTTAACCCCGAGCATTGACCCTGCATAATCCACTAGTGCCCATATTTTTGTCCATCACCACCCTTTAAAGGGGCCCTATGTAATCCCGTATCGCCCCATGTAGACCTTGTACTTCCATTCCCTACCCTAAGCCCCTAAAGAGTAGTTTCCATTTTATTTTCCATTATCCTTATATAACCCCAACATAACGACAATATAACCCCACCTAAAACCCTAAATAGATAAGTAGATATATACATATATAAATATAGTAGTTTCCATTTTATTTTCCATTATCCCACAATAACCCCGAAGACAGGGGCCTGGCCTGCGTTCCGTGCTGGCAGCTTCGCTTCTGGCCGGGGGCGCAGTCGCGGTGGCGCAGCGCCGGAGCCGCGTGAGCCGCCGATTCCGGGATGAGGTCCTCGATTTGGGGGTTGGGAGTTAAGGGGACATTGTAGGGTTCATATAGGGATTATACTAGGGTTATATTGGGGTTATATATTGGGGTAATGGAAAATAAAATGGAAGCTACTATATTATAATCTTAGGGTCAGGGTTCAGGGTTCTTCTTTACCAGCCCCACCATACTGCCACCCGAAGGCAGATGGGTTAAAGCGTTAGGGGCAATGAATTTCCAAGCTGAAGCGTGATTTTGGTTCCACGGGACTAGGCGCCACACCAGAATCCGAGTATGGGTCTTCCAACAATCGGGGTACCGCCTTATTGTAGATCAATAGATGAGAACGTTTTACTCTCGTCATTATACCTTATTTCCGAAGCCCATCCGAAACGCAAGACGTTTGAAGTAGGTCCGGCATGATACACAAGGTATATCGTAGTTGCAGGGCGTCTAGAGAGCCCAGGTTTGTTTTTATTTGAGCCATGCATTGAATGGTTTGGGAACGCCTTTGTGGACGGATCCTCTGCGCATCTACCAGGCGTTGGGGTCTCAGCGAGGAGTGTGTCCTGATGTATAGAGTTAGGGTTCAGGGTTGTATGGGAGGCTTGTCGAAGCTCTGCTTCCTTGGGGGCTCTCTTTCTGGGATGAGCCTAAATAGGGGAAACCAGAAATGAGTGGGGTCCCATGTGGAGGGTCCTCAGACGCAGGGTTCGATGGTATACAGTACGACCCTTTCTTGCAAACTTTCAAACATTCAGAATACCCAGAAAAGGGGCCTGAAGTTCGACCACCCATACGAGCTGTAGTAAAACTGAAATTCCTTAGAAGGGGTTATTTGGGCTACTATTATAGGGGTTACTTAGGGGATGCTAAGAGTTTCGACTATGGCTAATTTGCTGACAGGAAATGCATGCAGACACCGACTTGGACGACAAAGATGCTCGACCATACAGTTGAGTGTACCCAGGGCAACCTATATACCTAACAAAATGGGATATACCTAATACTTGGGCATCCTAGCTTAAAGGGTCCAGGTTACTCTAGGTAGGGCCTGGGGTCAGCGTTATTCCCATCGACCCGATTTCTATGAAGGGATACCCTTTTAGACGCTGGGGATATCACAGGATCTTGGCGGTCCCAGTTGGTTAAGATGAAGAAGCATTGTGAGCAGCGCCCACTTTCGGATTCAAGTGGACCTATTAGGTTTGCAGATTCAGCTGCTCATAAACTTTCATCCTACATCCCAGACGCATGGGCAGGTAAAGAAGAATTCATTTATCATGGTATTGGAGGAGAGAAATGCAGAACCCCCCCCCCTCTCCCCCAATTACGGTATGGTTTAAGCGCAGTACTTGGTCTTGGGACTGGAAGTAGAATCCATGGGCAGGGCTCTACGAAGTCCCCTCACTCTTCTCCTACAGACCTTGACTCTCCTAGAAAAACGTATGTGGGGGGATGTCAAAATTAGGGTCCCTTTTTGAGTACCCTAAATAGTAGGTGCTGTAGTATGATAGGGACCCAAAAAGGGACCATAATTTTGACAACCACCCATGTGGAGGGTTTTTGAAGTCCTGTACAGAAGCTTAGGCTTGGTCCTCCTTCCGGAAGATCATGAACAAAACTCGCGCGGCTGGGAAGAGCGGCGAAGATGTGACGCCGTCACGTTTGGAATCGTCTGGCGAAGTGCCCAAGCTGCGGGTTTGCTGCTAAGGAATTTGAATGAATTGCGAGGATAAGGAATCCCTATTACTATAAAGATATGTATATAATATAGAAATATGTACATACAATAGTTTTGTACATACATACACATCCCCTGTGCTGGAAAGTTAGTTTGAGTGCCTCAACAGCAGCCCAGATGATGTCGGCATTCTTTGGGGGGACGCTATGTCAAATATTATTCCTTTTGGAGTTCTATTTCCTAGGGACCTTCTTTTGGTGTAGTATATACTCACTTGAGTAGATTCTGGAGGAGTTAGGGTTAAGGATGTAGGGTTTGGCGCGTTTTCTCTTATGGGCCCTTGTGATGGTAATGATGAAGAGTAGTCAAAGGAAGTCGAATCACGGAGAAAGGGAGAGCAAGAAAGAATCGCACGCAAGGCCCTGCACAGAAGAGTCCTAATCAAGAGGGCCTAAAGATAAAGCCTTTGATGCCCCTGAGGTCTATACCTTACCTAGAGCCTCCGCCCCAGCACTCTTTGGCGGTACTCGAGCAATGCCCAACTCAACAGCATAGCAGACCCCAACAGCTTGGAGGATCCACTCCGAACATAGATTAAACGGTGTGTGAACTGCTAACTTGTTTGTTGTTCCTACTTTAAGGGTCCCTGAACCCGAACCATTGGATCATTGTAGGGCAAGGGCTACGAGAGAAAGAGTCATGACATCCTGTTTCCAGGCAGGGCTGCTGATCTAAGTCAGGACTGCGGTTCCTGCATAAAGGAGGGGTTATTCTGGGTTGGTGGTCACCCAAAACCCGACAATCGTAGTTACCATTTATTTTCCATTATCCCAATATAACCTCAACTAAAACCCTAAACCCTAATATTACTCCAATGAGTTCATCACGTACGCCCTCATCTCAGCTGGCAGGTAGAGCTTAGCCTTCCAGTTCAACGCCCTGAAGGCCGGACTCCGATATCCCACTTGTAGTTACTACAACCCCAAGGGTTTAGGGTTTAGGTTTTGTACGGATTAGGCTTTAGTTACCCCTAACGTCCAAGGAGCCAAATAATAGGGCTTCGCAGGGCCCAAATACCATTCAAGTATTTGGGACCTAAAGCCTCAAGTTGAGTCCTTGGGCCCTCAGGGCAATCATATGAATTGTATTTTGGACCTTAAAAGCCCTATCATTTGAGTCCTTGGACCCTCAGGGCAACCTTAATGAAGTAACTCGTGATTTTTATATGAAGCATAGTCTAAACTCTCCCCCTTAATAGCCCCCATAGTAGTCCCCTATATCATCCCCTATATAAACCCCCTTTAAGGAGTTTAGACCATAGCTCATATAGGATTTAGGGTTAAACCCTAAACCCTTGGTGGGGCAGTAGCCAAGGTAAAGGTCGGATTCGCAGGTTTTTCAGGCCCGAAAGGATTGGTGGGGATGATTAGCTGAACTCTAAGGGTCCAAGGACCCAAATAACAGGGCTTTAGGTCCCAAATACCATCAATCTCATCATATTTGGGCCCTGAAGACCTATTATTTGGGTCCTTATGCTACAACAATGCCCCAAACAAGTCCCCCTAATTAAATAATGCTCAGACCTTGCATGTACTTCGAGTTGACCTCGCCGGAGAGGATGTGGGAAACTTATGGGAAGGTATAGCCTCCCCCAAAAAATACGTGGAACCTAGCATAAGCCCTTTCAAAATGACAGCTGGGCCATTTAGGGTAGCTTCTGGCGTGAAGGTGGCTGTAAAAAGAAAAGCTCTCGCAAACGGCCACAGCTTTACCATAATTTTCGAAAACGAACCAGATAGCTTCTTAGCTTTCAAGCGCTCTTTTGGCTTTTTCCCCAGTCGATTTCCGTAGTCGTAGTATGTGAGGGTTGGAGACTGATTTGTTTTGGGTTTCGTATGTGTTCTTTAATGCCTGGCTCATGTGGATGTTAATCCAAGCCACGCTGTTGTGGAGGTCCGCATGGCAGTGGCCCCACACGTCAGTCTCCTAATCATCCTGGCAAACAGCTTTGTTGAGATCAATAGGGCTAGAAGAAGTCCTAGCATTCTTCCGTGAATACTTTCACTTGCCTGGTGTCTGTCCACAAAATTTTGGCATGTAAGACAGCAAGGCAGCTGAATGAAGCTGCCATTCGTCGTCACACTTGTCTGCCGGGCCTTCGATCTCCAACAACTTCTACCTAGAAACTGTTTTCTTGTGTGAGGCCTGGACAATATGGCGTGTAGCCAATCTTGGCAAAGACCCGGAGATAGTTTCACGTGCTTGCAGTGCAATGCCTGAAGGTCCAAGTTGCACTCACAACATCCTAGTCGAGTGATTGCTTTAATCAAAGTAAGAGATCATCTTTTTAATCATTGCTGCCTGGGTAAACAGTGATAGACCATTCAACCACCAAGAGAAGCCATGAGCCCGCAGCCCTGAATCCCGCCAACCGAAGCTCAAGCATAATCCTAATATGAGCCCTATACTCCTTGTTCCAAAAGCTTAAATCTGGATGCTGCAGAGCCTTAGAATTCTTGTAAGTTTTAGAGTTCTTCAAGGCTGGGGACAGTTCCGCCCCGTGAGCGTCGTTGCGGCCAAGATGTCTGGAAAGTTGCTGCCGGGGTGGCAGTTGGCAGGGGCTATTCCATTTCAAATTAGGATTATAGTGCTGCTGTAGGAGCTAGGATCTGACTTTAAGAGGTATTGCCCTCAACTCCAAGCCTGTCATGTGCAGAACTTCGCGGTTCTGTAACAAGTATATGCAAGTGGGCTCATCCTGTTTGACTTCATTCTGTATCTTATAGGGGTGGTAGTGACACTCCCTACGTCGCTGTATCGCTGAGATATTGTTTTGATATGCGACAGCGGGCTTTGACAAGGCTGTGGATCATCGAGTTGAGGGTTTGCCGTTTGCTGTGCTTTTTGTTCGGTTTGAAGTATCATTGTCCGCTCGGTTTGGGTCGCTGGGAGGTTTGGAGGTGTAGCGGTCTGGTTGCTGGCAGGTTTGGAGGTGTCACGGTCTGGTGGGCCGGGAAGTCACGGTCTAGCCCGCTGGAAGGTTTGGAGGTGTCACGGTCTGGTCCGCTTGGGTTCCTGGGACATTTGGAGGTGTCACAGTGTCACAGTCTGGTCCGCTGAAAGGTTTGGAGGGAGGTTTGGAGGTGTCACGGTCTGGTCTGGCAGGAGGTTTGGAGGTGTCACCGTCTGGTCTGCTCGGTTTGGGTTGCTGGGAGGTCTGGAGGTTTCACGGCGTGGTCTGCTGGGGTGCTTGGAGGAGTCACGGCCTGGCCCGCTGGAAGGTTTTGAGGTGTTACGGTCTGGTCCGCCGGGAGGTTTGGAGGTGTCACGGTCTGGTCCGCTGGCAGGTTTGGCGGTGTCTGGTCAATGGGGGTTTTGGAGCTGTCGGTTCTGTCTTGTTTCTCACAGGCTTGAAGGTGTTGCGCTGAGGTCGGCAGATGTCATCAACCTTACTATAGCTTTATTTGCGCGAATTATTTCCCTAGGGCTCCAGTTACCTAAATAATGGGAACTGGGTTCTATATACCCTATAGTTACATAGCCCAGTAACCAACTATATAGGTAACTGGAGCCCTAGGGATTAATTATGTCCCACGGCATTTCTCTTAGTCTTTGAGACTTTAGGCTTGACGACCTTGCAAGGACTTATTCTGACTTCAGGGCTTTTTGACCTGGGCATCAGAAGCCCAATGAGCTCTATGTTGAGCCAGCCATCTCACAACAGAAGGTTGAAGATTGATCTGGTCTCGCACTGAGCCCCCATCATGCACCGAAAAAATTGCCAGCAAACTTAAAGCCAGCGAGCCCAAAACTATAAAGTGAACCGCTATTTCCGAGGCCCAAACTCATACCCTTGACTCCTGAACTCTGAGCCCATCTAATGCTTAGTAGCTCATCTGGGAGTGACCTGAACCCCCCATATTCCTCCTTATAATCCTGGGCTCCTTGCTTGAGAGTGCCATTTCTGGCTCCAAGTACCCTAAACCCTAATCCTTAAACCCTAAACCCTCATCCCTATAATCCCTAAACCCTTTAACTCTAAAGCCTAAACCCTATAACCCTAATCCCTATAATCCCTCAATTCAGGGTTCCTTAGGCCCTAAACCCTAAACCCCAAACCCTAAACCCTAAACCAGGAATGCGGAGCTTGCCAACGGCCGCCTCGCACTCCTCTCTGCCTCCCGGGAGCCCGGGATTTTTCTTTACATGGTTTAGGGTTTAGGGTTTAGGGTTTAGGGGGATCTCTTCAACGGAGCTTGAGGGAATTGGGGTTTCCCAAAAATTAGGGGTACCTTTGTGGAGTCCCAATAGTAAGGGTTAGAGTATTTTTTGGACTACATTGAGGTTCTTATTTTGGGAAAGTACCATGTGTAAAGGCTTGTCGGTTCAGGGGACCAGAGTTTAGGGTTTTTGCGGTTCAGGGTTCGGGATGTCTCAATAAATTGAGTTTCCTTTGGGACCCTCGGCATCTATGGGTCCTTTAGCGAGACGGCTTTCGGGTCTAGCTTAAGGATTATAAGTCTGGGCCAGTGTTGAGAAACTTCTATTTCCACTTCTGGGGGCTCGCAAGTCCTATAGGACTCATGAAGCCTTGTCTTGAGGCTTTTCAAGAGTGTCGCGGATGATTTTAGAGTTTCATGTTGTCACTGGTGTTCCACGCCGTGGAACCAGAAATCATGGCCTGAGACCCGGTGGTTGTGCAGGCTTATGCAGGGCTTGCTGGTGGTGTACTAGCCAGGCACGTCTGCTTGCAGGCCTACATCTTCTTTTTGCACATCGGTCCGGGTTTAAGAAGTGAGGTTTGGTTGTCCAAAAGACAAAAAATCATGCTACTAAAAGCGCAATCTCACGTGTAGTGTCTCTTGATGACAGCCGAGCTTTATGGCCCTGATTGCTGATGCTTGCCTGTACTTTTCGAGAAAGTGCTCAGCTCTGCTCATGAGGCCTTTTGGACCAAGAAACTTTCTCGTTCATAGCTGCCGCTTGAAGTCAGTCAAAAGTCTGGTCCGAAAGATGCTGGGTTATGTCTTCGGATCGCCTGGATGTACCAAGGATGAGACTGGATTGACCGGCAAGCCAAACTCATACATCTCAAGCGTTTCTAACTCAGAACTTCCTCATAAAATCTGCTTCGGGCGCTTATGTGAGCCTTACAGAATTCTTAGATGTCCCTTACGCCCCTAAGTTTAGCACGCACTGAGTGTTCAAGAAGGGCTGATTCCGCGAGCAGGTCTCCTTGAACGGGGGTTATATAGGGGGTTAAATAGGGAAGTATATAGGGGTTACTAAGTGGGATACTCGGAGTTCTGACTATAGACTATAGCCCATAGAGGGTTTAAGGATGGTACTCCCACAATGGAACATCAAATGGACAAGAAAGTGGAACATGAAATGGCAACTAAGATTATACATGGGGTTACATGGATTATAATATGTTTATATATATTCATATATATGTATATATATGTGACACTATATATGTATATATATATAGAGTATATATATATATAATAGGGGTTCATGATTTGCAGGCATGCGACAAAACATTAGGTAGCGTGCGCAACAACCTTTGATTTTTTTATGTGGAGGGCAAGCCCCCCATCATGGCTGTACAAGGTTGCTCCAGCTCCCACGTACCCATCTCGAAAACTCACCCCCACAATAAACCCAAAGCTAGACCCAAATTTAGTATGGCACGCCAAATGGCTGGAACCAAGGAACTGCACCTTGAAACGCACGCGAAGCCAACAGAGGCCTGGTGACCGCTGTTAGTACTACAGGTCCATGGGTAGCTACAATAGGGGGTATCATTGGGATACACGCAAGTACAGCCTTGCTCACCGAGAATTACCCGTGAACCTACAAATGCTGTACTATGCAATAGACCCCCCAATATACCCCCAATGTAACCCCAATAAAGCCCAGTATAGCCCAATATACACCCCAATGTTCCCCCGTTATAACCCCAATATAACCACAACATACCCCACTTATCCTGAAATATGGCCTTCTATTGAGGTTCTTCAGATGGGCTGGCTGTTGAGGTTCAGGGTTTAGGGTTTAGGGGTGAAGTTTAAGTGGCCTCACTTACTCAAGCTCAGCCCACATGGGTGGTTGTCAAAGTTATGGGCCTTTTTTGGATCCCTATTATAATACGGCACCTAATAGTCAGGGTACCCAAAAAAGGACCAGAATTTTGACAACCCCCCACATGGTGTTCTATACGGGTAGTTACCCCAAAAAAGGTTTGTATCAGCTTAGTAGTGAATTCTTCTGAATTGGCAAGTCATCCTAAACCCAAAGCCCTAAACCCAAACCCAAAGCCCTAAATAGTAGTTTCCATCATCCCACTTTAACCACAATATACCCCCAACATAACCCCTGCTTTGGCATTTCCAAAGTCAGATGGAGGTGGCGGCGGTGCCGGGGATTGTGCTTGGTCCAGGTTTTATATAGGAATAATGGAAAAGACAATGGAAATCCCTATAGTATAATAGGGTATATCTTATTATTAGATATTGGGGTTATAGTTGAGGGTTTAGGGTTTAGGGTTCAGGACTTAGCCTTCAGGGTGCAGCTGTCTCTGAAACTGTCATCATCTATAGTGACGCTCCGGAAAGCCCCAACTCTCAAACTGTCAGCCCAAAACCCTTCAAGGCTTTGAACTTAGGCCGCAGAGCTTGGAGCCAGGCGCATGGATTCGGCATGTTAAAAGGCACGAACTCCAGATCCTACACCTGATAGACGCTCAGCCCCATGCCATGATCCCTAAGTCACGAACAAATCAAACATGGAAAAGCTCAAACGCGTTCTTAAACCTTCTTCTCAGGAGTTCGTAGTGTTAAGCTCCGAATCTTATTGTAAAGTCCCCAACCCAGACCACCGAGCTCTACGCATTGGATACTGCCGCCACTCAGTAACAGTTGGCTGATATTCAACTTAGAATTCTATGTAGCCCTTAATCTTACTCCGATTTTTTACAGTTACTGGGTGGGAAAAGCACCCTAAACCATAAACCCTAAACCTTACCCAAAGCCCAGGAGATCCAACCTGTACAACCTAAGCCTTTCTTGTTTGCTCCAGGAGGAGATCCAGGCCGCGCGCGAGGCGAGGAAGAAGTTCGACTTGCCCCTCGTTCACAACAGGGTTTAGGTTTTAGGGTTCAGGATGTGTTATGGGTTTAGGAGTCAGGGTTCAAGGCTTACGGCTTAGGGTTTGGGGCTCAGGGTTTAGAATCCAGGTATCCACATATCACACTGGTTACACAAAAGCATGTAGGTGGGAGCATCTACCTTACTGGTTGCTAGTAGGGAATAACGGAACATATTCCCTACATATAATGTATTCCCTTTTTCACTACCAACCCCTAGAAAGCTACAGCATCCGCTTTTCTTGGGAACTTGCCAACAAACCAAACATGGTGTTGGATTCAAACACCATCTTTGACTAAACCCTAAACCCATAGGCTCAGGGCAGGGCTTATCTAGGGATTGTGTCAGGTTTCGAGCTTTAGGGAGCCTCCAGGGTAGGCCTCTCTAATATTCTGTGTTGGTGAGCTTTAGAGAATCTTGAGAATGTCCCCTGGCTGCGATACCTGCGGAGGGATTTCTAGTACTACGTTGGCGGTGCTGAACCTCTCCTTGCATAGTCATCAGACAGCTAATAGACTTACCAGCATAACTACGCAAACCCCAAGAGTTCAGGAATAGTCCATAAGTCGTGAATTGTTAATATGATTGCATTTCCCCTTCCGAACCCAACATGATTTACGGTGAATAGGGGGGCAGGGTGTGTTTCCTGATTTATCTAAGCCCCGAAAGCACCCAAAAACAGCTACGAAGCGCGAGATCACGAGCAAACTATACAGGCCCTCTCCCTGAACCCAACCAAATCTGAAAGTCAAAAAAAGATTCAAAGTCATGTTTAACAGCCCTTCTGATAGCCAGAATCAGAAGATGCAAAAGGACGAGAATGGACACAATAACAATATCGTAAGATAATATACAGATGCTAACTGTAATGCGAAATTCCTACGTAGCTGCAGGAAAGAGCTTCCTAGCGACGACGGCTACGGCTGGGACCCAGATCAGATCGACGCAGAAAAGCCGCCGCTCGGGATCTTTTTATAATAGGGTTTTGGGTTTAGGGTTATAATATGGTAGGGTATAGGGTTCAGGGTTGGGTTTATAATGGAAAGAAACTGGAAACTGTAGGGATTATAGGGTATATATAGAGGTATATATATTATGGAAATTCTGAGGTTTTACAAGGTTATTGTGAGGGGTTTAGGGCTTAGGGATCTTGCACTTACCAAGAGACTGCTTAATGACAAAAGTTACTATGACTTTGCTGAGGAGTTCTAGTTGGGATGTCAAAGAACACCTATAGAGTCTGGGTCCTGAGAAGGATGGGTCGTCGCGATGCATCCATTCCTCCATTCCCTACCAAGCAATCACTATGGAACCCCTACAATCCCTGTAGTTTCCATTTCATTTTTCAGTATTCCATTATAACCCCAATATACTATAGTAGTTTCCATCTTATTTTCCATTATCCCAATATAGCACCAATATACTATAGTAGTTTCCATTTTCTATTCCATTCTTCCATTATAACCCCAATATGTACAAGATTGATTTGATGACTCAGGTTCGAACCATCCGAGGTGGAGGCTGGGAGATTGCGGGATTGGGTGGGTGGAGGCGCTTGGGGACGGAGTGTTTATAGTATCAGGTTCATAGCCTGGGTGGGACTGGAGTGTGTTGAAGATTTCAGAGCTTTGGGGTTAGCGTTTTGATTCCTGAACTTGTTCAATCCTTTTTGTATGCTGGGTTCTGATATAGCAAGCCAAAAGCCAAGTTTCCCTACAGTCTAGAGATCGTGCCGCATGTCCTCGTCAATGTGAATCTGCAGACGCCATCTGGCATTCATCCATCTTCCTCCTGCTCGTCGGAGTAATAGTAATGATAATAGCAAAAATAGCAGCAGAGATCGCAACATCAAAGCATAGCAAGAGCACGGAGCCAGGGCCATCCCGGTGATATGGATGATCAAGAGAATGCATTGGTAAAAATGGCGCCTAGAACAGCACAGATGACCTTTGAACACCACTGTAACTACTAGGGTCACGCATCCACTAAAGTTCACGGGCACAACGATTCATCCCCACGAATTTCAAGCCCCATGCCCTAAAGCGCCCGAAGATGCATTGAGGTTGGCATCACACCGCCCCTTGGCTACTTCGACCCCTTGGGCTTCTCAAAGGTGGGTGACGCAGAAGGGCCTGGGTCTCAGTAAGAGACAAGACGTTTCAACTTGTTTGAGCGCTACCTGGACTTAGTGTTTGGCAGTTTGGGATTCGCGGCTGGTTCAAGTTGTTTTTGGCAGGGCTAGACTTGGGTTCAGGAATCCTGTGCGGCTGCCCATGAGTGCTAGAAGGATTACAACGCGTCGAAGGACTTACCTGATCTCGAGATTGACAGGGAGAAGCAGATAGAAAAAAGAACATGTTTTTTGACATTTTTTGGCCCAACCACTCATGTGTTTGTGTCCTTCCTGGCTGCTTTAGAATATACCTTCCGTCCTGCAGTACCCAGGTTCCGCTTCAGGCGAGCAGCAGAAATCAAACACGGACGAGTGGCAATGATGGCAGCAAAGCTGATCTTATTCAGCTTTGCATGGCGGTATTCGCGCTATTTGTGGTAGGCCGTGGCAGTCTTCAGGCTGTGTTCGTCATCACAGTACATATACTTTGCATGCTGAAATTGGATGCCTGACTGCCAGTCGCTAGCTTCAATGCTTCGGACTTTACAAAAGTTCTAAGGAGTGCTGAGAAGTCGAATTCTTACCTTTAGCCAGGCAGAGGGGAGTGTTTGCTGTGTAAGGGCTATTGGTTGTTAGGGATGCTCCTGCATGCCGCCATGGGTGTTTGAGGGGAGTTCGCACGAATCGACACTCACTTGAGAACCTTTGCAACAGAGTCTTTCTGGCATGGTTTAGACGCGCTTGTGCAACACGCTGAGCTTGGGAACCCAAATCTGTAGCTGGTATTCCTAGGGGGGAGCGGGGTACTCTCTGACCTGGCATCCCTATTTGCACGGAAACAACAAGTAAGATGTAGCTCCTGTGAGCAACTGCACGCTCAACTTCAACATTCACTGTCACCGTGAAAGCACATTGCTTAGGGCCGGGGCGTCCCTCACATGTATGGGTACCTTTTGAAGTACCCTTCAACTGGACATTCTTTCGCAGTTGGCGAAATGCGCATGGACACAAAAGTTGCAACATACCCAAACTTTGCCAGACCTGACGTGTGATGGAAACCTTGTGCTTTCCACGTAGACGCTGATCAGTAGGTATAGTCATACCTTGACGGTCTGAATGCCGAAGACAAGTCTGTTTGATTTTCGTTGTAGTATACGGTCCGAAATTGCACTCCTGACAGAGCGGCGTAACTGCCCTTTCTTATGAGGTGAGTACCTTTCATTCTGGGCGTCAGGAGTTGGGTTTTCGTAGCCGATCAAAACTGGATGCAAAGACACGTTTCCAGCCTCACAGACTTCCACACTCAGAGTGCCCTAAGTCCTGTACCCTAAATCCGAAATCCTGCAACCTAAGCCCTGCACCCAAAACCTGCATCCCTAGACCGCACCAAAACCCTGACAATCTTCAACTCTCATCCTGGAAATTGTACCGAAATCCAGGCTCTCAGCCCTATTCCCCAATCGATCTATGCAGTTTTTGTATGTCTGCGTTATACTTGTACATATATATATATATACATACAGACTGTTATGCATATTGTTCAACCCGTTTAAATCTTTGAGGCCTCTGTGGGCCTTGTCATCACTCACTGGGTGCGGCTTCCAGGCTATGAACTCGCCGGGACGCCAGGGCTGAAAATTGTAAATCCTTGGGGGTTTTGAAGCTGATTCACATCTTTTGGTGTCAGATGTTTTTGTTAAGAGGCTCGGTTTTCCGTTTAGTGTTGCAGGGTTAGAAGGATTATGTAACCTGCAGGACCACGAATACCCTATTGGTAAGCTTTTTCTGAATGGGTTTGACAGGAGGTGCACATCCAACAGACCAAGATCTGAGACCACAACAAGATTTCTCAATTCCGCTCCCAATTACCCCTATCCAGGTCTTGTGAGAAAGAACTTTTCCCGACGGGGTGATGTGTAGATATCGCCCAAGCAAATGTGATAGTAAACAACAAACAAAGAAACAAACAAACACACACCATAACCCCCAAACTCCGAAAGCCTAAGCCCTTGAATCCCTCCTCAACCCCCAAAACCCTAAAACCCTGAAGCCGTAGTCTGGGATGCCCTAAGCCTAAATCCATTGACCTGCACCATGAGCTCACAACCCGAAGAGGAATTCTTGGTCCAGCCAGTTCGACACCATCGTTACGCTCCCTGCGCTCTACTTCTTCAGCAGCGCGGCTTAAGCGGGCTGTGGTTGGATTAGAGTTTAGGTGTTTAGGGCCTAGGGCTAGGGGATTTAGATCGCAAGGGGTTCAGGAACTGGATTTGATGTACGGAGTTCTGGGTTTGCATGGGAAAAACAGAATTGCGGAACATGCTTTGATCCTGAAATGGGTGATTGCAGCTGCTTTGCTGGCGTAAGGCATAGCTGAGTACGCATAGCAACCATATGCGGCATATATAGCCAATCTCGGTGCTAGATATAAACTTGAGGGCCGCAGTAGGTATGGCTTTGGAGCTGTTTATTGCTATTGGCCCAGAAGGCGGTTACAAGTGCGAGTACTGCTGATGCTGCTGCTCCTCCCACATCGCCTGCACAACGGCTTCACCAGCTTCAACCCTACTCCACCACTTCCTCGATGTTGCGAGGAGCAGCGATGCAACTCGGCATGGCAACGGGCAAACTCCCACCAAGGCACTTGCCGCTGGCAGCCCCGCCGCCTCCACCGCAACACCATCCATTCTCTGTCCACCTATCCTTCAGTAGCATTGTGTTTATGCTGGCCCTCTTGGCCACTGCGATGACAAGGCGTCATGATGGTCATCATCTTGTGGCTAGAGCTTAGCTTCTGGGCGCAGGACTTTGCAGAACATGCCTGGCTTGAGGCTTTGTGATTTGACATTGACCCAAGAGTTCTTTCATTTCAGGAACTTGTGTAGAGTCAGCTCCAAATAGGGTTGACTGGCGCACTGGGCAAAGCAAAATACCTGCCGGTTCTTAGTAGGAAATAAGGAAACATCTTGTATATAGGGTTTGTATAGGGATCATATTCCCTTCTTCCCTACTAAGAACCAGCAAGAACAGGAACTGATTCAGTTTGGCAGTCCGTGGTGCCTAACAGAGGAGTAGGTCCGGCACACTCTCTCCGCGCCAGTTGCAATCACCCCCACATAAGGTAGATCCCCAAGGCCCACACTGAGCCCATGTAGGCTATAGTCTTAATTTCTTAAGGGGGCTTACATAAGGGATTAGAAAGGGGAGTAGTATATATAGGGGTTGAGTAAGCCCTCATGTCCTCAAAGGCCCTGCCCCCAAAGCTGAACGCGAGGAACCCAAAACCTAGCTACTACCATGGCACTGGGAAGCCTTCTCTGTATTAATTAGAGCTGGAAATCCTGAGGGATTGGATACTGTTACCCGCGCTAACGCGGTCTTCTCAAAGTTTCATGAATCATTCCCATACCCTGACTTACCATGTACAAAGACCTGTTGCAAGGTGACCCAGACCCAAACCCTAGAGCGCTACTTGTAGAGGCTTGGGCCCTAACTTTCCTACACCAGACAGTCGGGCTATCACCCCCTCGCCAAAAGCGTAGGAGGATGACAGGCAGCCAGGCGACTTCGGTGACCCGCCGCTTGTCAGGGCAGTTAGGTAGAGGGGTTGAAGCCGCCCTGGCTGTAGCCACAGCTACCATATTATATATATATATTCAAACCCTATTATGCGATAATATTCCAATATGGTAATTTAGGTTATATAAGGATGATGGAAAAGAAAATGAAAACTACTGTATAGTAATATTGGGTTGTAACCAGCACCGCTGCTACTGCTTGCATTGTTCGTGGTCATGATCTTTGACCGGCTGCACGATTTCCTATGTCCCCCAGGACCCGTCTGGTCCCTAGCAAACGCTAGACCCTGCACTCGCCTGCCACCGAAAAGATGATGAGGGTTGTTCTGAAAATGATGGGCCCCTTTTGCTTACAGATTATATCACGGCGCCTAATCTTTTGGGGTACCAAAATAGAACCCTACTTTTGGGAACTGCCAGTGAACAGGCAAACCAACACACAGCAACTGCATTGACGCGGAAGTGTGCTCATGCTGCTGCCGCTGAGGTTGGGTCTGGGCATGTACAGCACCGAAATGCGCAACCGCTTCTTGCATGCAGTTATGGCATTGATTAAAATATTGATGTGTGACCCTGATTGTGCAAGATTCAGTAGACCAGGACAACATCTGAAGATGCGAGTACATAGGGCAAGAAGGATAGCTTCCATCACAGCACATCAGCAAGCCCGTTTGCAGCCCAGTATTTTACGTTGCTATGCAAGTTGACCATATACACCAGGCAAACTTCTGATTGATTCGACAACCAAACTGCAGACCTAAGCCCTACAAGTCCTTAACCCTTATGATACAGACCTGAACGCCTGAACCCTACAAATCCTTAACCCTTATGATCCTAAACCCTAAACACCAGCATGGCCGTATTCCAAGCATGTGTAGGCTTATCTTGTGTCACAGCACCATGGCATGGTTCATATTAAAGGGTTAGTTTTTGCCTGGAAGGCAGGTCCGCAACATATGCAAAGTCATCATCAAAATGTTTGCTGGCCTTCCGGCAAAGCTGGCTGACTATCACGATGCTTCTGCAACATGTGGAAGCCGCCAAGTGTGATATCGAAAAGGTCCCTGCAGGTGCTACGCTATTTGTGGCCTGTCCCGTTTGCAAAGTACCTACCTTTCCGTTGACGTTAAGCCAGAGTGCCCTGCCAAAGTACCCTCACGCAGGTCCTAGGATGCCTACAAGTTCTTCAAAGTAGGTGAGGGGTACTCGCGTGTAGGCCATTGTTAAACAATGACGCACAAGGTAGTTTGAGGGTTCTGGGGAGGCTCCTTGTTTTGCCTATGGCAACCAACACGATTAATAAGGGGGGAATCCCCTTCGTATGATACTCAACACCCCTGCACCCACACGAGACCATTTTCCTACATTAAATATTTGAATCGTAGTGGGCCAGGTGATGTGCAGTACTAGTAAGAAGGGAACCAGCATGCTAGGCGAAATCAACAACGGCCGCTTCGCGATGCGACTCGGTGAAGAAGCCCCCTTCATGCCCTCCACACATCTGAAGATAGTGCCGCCCCTGGGTTCTGCAAGCCCCGTATACTTCCAAAATGGTAGCATCTTCAAACATCATAAGGACAGCCAAAACTGAGTTCAGAATTTCAGGGCGCAATCTCTGAGCACACCCCGAATGCAGATATGATCACCATAAATTGGACTCTAATACTTCCGGGTACATTGGGTCTAGAAGCTGATCCAGAGAAACATTGATCTGAGACTTGCCTGAGGATTAGAATAAAATCTACTCTTTTTTTCCTAGAGTGAGGGTGATTAGGGGATTCGCCCGAAGGCCCGGAGCTGTCAAGCACCAATTCAGCAGCTTCTGCCTATTGTTTTTTTTTGGGAGGGGGGATTGGGGGGGAGGGGGTTGGGGCTTCAACCAATGTGGCCCCGACCCATAGCTTGTGCATTAATACCGTATAGAATGCCTTTTCCATTTCATTGTCCATGGGTTCCATTTGATTCTCCATTTTTGTGCGAATTTTCCTAAATGGCAGAAAGACCGCTCATGCATGGAGCATTGTCCAAAACTTCTAACTGCAAAAATGATGCTGAGTAAGAATCCTATGAACACCATGCATCCACCAGAGTCTTGACGTTTGCCTTTGCAGTGCCGGAACCATGGGCTCCTGGTATAGGCCATCATCTGCTTGGTAGCGTTTAAGGCGCTCTCTGTACAAGGATGAGGATGCCCGTGCATCATTTTACATTATTTGCACATGTTTACCACTATTTTTCCGATATAGTGGGAATCATTCTTGGGTGATCCCCCACCCTTAGAGGCCTATGCCTTCCCTGTTTTTTCTCTTGAAAGCGCCTCTACGCTACTGATAAGTTGGATCTCCTCACTTTGAATCTTTTCAACTTGGGGTCATAGACCCAAACCCTATACTGAGCCAGAAACGCTAGGCTGTCCATCGAACACCTGGAGCTAAACTCTCCTACCCAAAAAACTTTGCCCCAAGCCCAATCTCTTTAGACTTGAATTTCAGAGCTCTTAATAACCCTCAGACCCAAACTGTCAATCCTGAAGCCTGAGCCTTTACCTCAAACTCCGTTGTGCCGAAACCGACCCCCCCCCCCAAAGGTTTGCCACGACGGGCATCGTGCTGGCCCAGACCGTCTCCGGGAAGGCGCGTGGGTATTGGTCTAAATTCCCTATAATACGGGGTCCTATATTTGGGTTCCCGTTATAATACGGGGCCCTATATAGATTTCCCCCATTTTGGGAACAGTAATTTAGGGAAACTACCACTTACTCCTTCCTCTTGCCTGGCCTTGCGTTAGCTGGGAATGAAGGAAAGGATAAGCAAACCGAAACTGCCATAATGGGCTAAATAGGGACTACTCTAAGGATCCATTCCTCCATTAATAGCTAGCCAAAGGGGTATGTTGGAATTTGTTTTTCATCAACTTATATTACCCTTGATTTCCACAGAATCATTATAAAGCCATACGAAAACATGTGTATAGGGCCCCAAACCCACCCTAGTGGCCTGTAGGCTCTAAAGCGATGTTGATCGCAGGAATGCATTAAGACCACTTCAGCTTTATACGTATGTGCGCTTGCGGGTAAGATTTCTGGGACTGCTTGTGAGAATCTGGTACTCATTGCCATGGGCCAGCAATTTTCATTCACAATTGTCGCGGGCGCAGTCATTGTCAGAAAGCTTGAACGAAACCCTATATAGCCCTATAGCAAGCCCTGTAACCCCTTTAAAGGGAGCTCTTCTAAACCTTGTTTGGGCTAACTTGTGGTCAAGCATTGGAGTTGAGTAACTATAACTGCTGGATTGCCGCACGATGACTCAGGGGCCCCCAAGATTTGCGCCAGCCAGCAGTAGGTGAAGGAAGAGGGGTTGCTGTGGAATTTGGATGAGGATGGGGAGGAGCACTATGATCAGTCGTATGTGCATTGTCGTTGCTTGCAGGGCAATGCCGGGAAAGAGAAACACGGGCGCTCTGCGTGAGAGCTTTTGATCTATATGGCAGTTTCCCATGATTAAGGATACCTTATAGGGTTCTGGATTTAGGGGTCTATATTGGGGCCCCCTATTTTAAGAAACTACCATATCTAGTGTAGAACCGATTTGCGAAGCTGAACATTCCTCATCATTGCAGACGCTTTACAAAGACCCCAATGACTGCCTCCGTTAAGCCCAAATGTTGCCTAAACTAGGCAACCATCGCATTTCTAGACTTCAGACTTTCAAGTCCATGGAGCCCTCAGAACAGCATCCCAAGTTCCAACCTCAATTACGTACGAGGACGCTATTGAACAACTGGGGCTTTGAGCTCTCGACGCTTTCAGCTCCACAAGGCGTGCTTGACACCATGAGTCCCAAGCTCCAAGCTTCAAGCTTTGTCCTTTGGACATTTCTGCGGTAATTTTCCTTGCGAACATATCGTTGTCTTTGTATGGCGCGTCTGGCACTCACTGTCATATGTCAGAAGCTAGACTGGCATCAATGGGAGGTTGTGCTAGATGCGCTAGGTTAGACCAGTGGAAAAGTATGGGATGTTTGCTTTGGATTCTGCAGTGTGGAGCTGGCAAAGGCATGTTCATATTCCTCAGCTAACTCTCGGTCCCCAAACTTGGGTCCCGCCCCTACCCATCAACAGTCTATAATAGAGGTCATATGAAGGGCTCTATATACTCGCATGATAGATATTATCCAGCTTTTAATGAGTGAGGGCAACATCAGTCACAAACCATTCAGACCCCTCGTTCTGGTGGACCAACCCAGCCACATGCACTTCAGGCGAGCTGGCAGCCCCGGGTTTAGGGGTTTAGGGTTTTTAGGGTATACCCAGAGTCTAGAAGTCTATGCGCTGCAGGGTCGCTTTGGAATTTGTTTAGTGGCCCCTACACCCATAACAACATTCTGAAATAGGGAGGTGGAACTGATGAGTCCGCCTTTTTACTGGGGTTAGTAGGGAATAGGGGAGTATAATATATATATATATGGTTTACATAGACATGATATGCTCTTGTTCCCTAATAACCGACACTAAGTATCCCTGTACACAACCCACATATACCATAGAAGTTGCCATTTTCTTTTCCATTGTTCCCTTCTAACCCTGAGCGCTTTATTCCCTACTACCCTGAACCCTAAACCCTCAAACCCCTTAAACCCCAAACCCTGAAGCCTAAGCCCCTCAAACCCTAAATCCTGAAGCTTAAACCCCCAAACCCTAAACCCCTAAACCCCCAAACCCCTTAAACCCTGAACCCTGAACCCCTTAAACCCTAATCTCCCGAACCGCTTAAACCCTAAACCCGTAAACCCAAAACCCCCAAAACCCTTAAACCCTAAACCCTCCCCAACCCCTTAAACCCTAAACCCCTAAACCCTCATCTCCCAAATCCCTTAAACCCTTCACCCCTAAACCCTAAATCTCCAAATCCCTTAAACCCTAAACACTAGCAAGACGTTCATCCTTGAACTGTACCTGCGCTTCTTGAATCCTGCAACCCACGGCCTGGAATTGAGTCACGTCCATGCTGAAGGCTGAAGCATATGGATTATATAGGGATTCATAGGGATATACATATATATATATATGTATATATGGGGTTAGCATAAGGTTCGTATAGGGTTATATAGAGTTTCTATAGGGTTATATGGGAGTTATATAGGGTTTTATATAGTGGTAGTAACGACTACATAGGGTTTAGGGTTTCCCAAAATTTGGGACACCCTTTCGGGGCGTCCCTACAATGAGGATTATAGCATTTTATGGTTTATATTGGGGTCTCCCTATTTAGTGAAACTACCGTGTATATATATATATGTATATATATATATATATATCTCTATCTCTCTCTCTCTCTCTCTCTCTCACCATGGAAGCCTCCAAACTCCATGTCCTCGTATTGTCGTTGGATCCTGGATTTAATGGCAACAGATTTGCATCACATTGCAAAGCACTGTCGACTCTTTGGAAGGTTTTTCCATGGCTTTGTTACCTCACCCCTTGGGCGACCTCTCCTTTAAGGTCCAGAAGCTCTGCCAGGGTGTTTAGTACTTGGAGGTCCAGGGGCACCTATATCCCAATCATCCTTGTACTTAGAACCCAATTATGTCACCATGCTAGGGAACATGGAGGGCTTTACTTTCGTTACAAGTGCTATTATGAGTAGTAGGATCTGATTACCCATGGACCTCCAAGTACTGCAGGCGCCTTTGAAGCAGCCTGGTGATCTCGCGTGGGCCGGACGAGGAGTGCACGGGACAAGGGGCTTTAGCTTTACTTGCCTCTTCGTAGCAGAGGCTTAGGGAATGTGGCGGAATGGCTTTACTGTAATATTCTGGCGCAAATAAGGCTAGAGTAGGACCCATTCCTTCCAATAACTAAGATCTATATAGTCGTTAATAACACTATACAAAACCTATATAACCCCTATATAACCCTATAGAAACCCTGTTTAACCCTACATAAGCCCTATGTTAACCAGTTTTGGTATGGGTTCCCCTTGCAGGGTCAGGCTTGTTGGAGTGGCTAAAAGGCGCTTTTGTTGCACGCTTTGATTTGCTCCCCCTTTCTGGAAGATCCTCCGAGGCTACTTGAGGACTTGGCCAATAACTATGAAGCTGACAAGCTGCGGAAACTACTATAGTATATCGGGGTTATATTGGGGTTATATGGAAAAGACACTGGAAACTACTATAGTGAAATGGGATGATATAGGGTTTATTTTGGGATAATGGAGAAGAAAACGGAAACTACAGGGATGATAGGGGTTATGTAGGGGTTATATAGGCTTCAGGTTTCCGCAGCCTTTAAGGTGTATACGTCAAGATGAATCCCAGCAGTGGCTACATCAACATCCGGAGTGTTCGAAGCCAGTCATCTGATTACAAGATTAAAGATCCCAAGATACAGAACACTGGAAGATCCTAAATGATCCTCAACTCAGCTGCTGGGGAGACTGAACGAAATCTTGAGATGGGCCACACTAGGTAGGGGCTGGGAGTTTGTTTTTTTCCGCATTGAGATCCCTGAGCAGGGCCCCCACCACGTAACACAGTCAGATAGTCAACTCCCGCATGACAGATGGTCAGAAACTCAGCCAGCCAACCCTGTTAGTATATTACAGAATACTATGATAGAGTATGGTATACTACAGTATGCTATGGTATATAAGGGTAGAGAAGTGAGCAATTGGCCTTTGCCTTCCACCCTAAACGCTAAACCCTAAACGGCCTTATTGTCGAACTGTGTGCCGCCTCTTGTAAGACCCAAACGCAAGGTTTTCCTTCTTCTAAGCTTTTCTCCTCGTTTGGGGAGCCTATATGGGGGTTTCCCAAGATTAGGGGTACATTTTTGAGGGTCCCCATAATAAGGATTATAGTATATTGGGGTCCATTTTGGGCTCCCCTTATTCTGGGCAACTACCATATCGCTTCGTAAAGGTTCCAGCAGAGTTGGTCTGCTGGGCTGTTCTCGAGGTACTGTAACTGTCATCGGAATGCCTTTCCCGACAATCTTTCTCCATTATTGCAAGAAAAAGAAGTCTACTATACACACTGCAGGGATCCTAAAGCCAAGCCTTAGGGAAGGGCGCCTTCAGAGGGTGCTGCTAGGTTCTTACCTTTGGTTTTTCTAGGAATGAAGGAATGGATCCTTATGGTAGTCCCTATACAGCCCATTATGGTAGTTTCCATTCTTTTCCATTCCTTCATTCCCAGCCAACCAAAGGTAAGGGTTAGGCCCCGGCTGTGAGCTTCCTCGCTAGGTGCTCCTGGCTCCAGTGAGGTCTAATCACGCACCGGGGGCAGCTTTCACAGAGGGGTCCAATTTGCCGTGTTTCTGTTCAGATAAGCTATAGTCTAAGCTCCTTAAAGGGGGTGCTGTAGGGTCTATATAATAGGGGACCACTATAGGGGTTATTAAAGGAGATACTCGGAGTTTAGACTGTATACCTCAGATAAGTTTCCCGCGTCTGAGGTCATGAGCCCGCAGCATACTTACATTTTGCCATTTCCAAAGCACATGATTGAAGAATTCCTGCTATCATCCCTGCAATAGACTGCTGAAGAGAGACTGACCCTGTCTACCTCCATCTTGCAGCGCATGATTTTCAACATTATTGCTACTATGATTCGTATTATTTGTAATTTAGCCGTAATCCTCGTCACTTGGGATATGCCATGTTGGGACCCCGTCTGGAACGCTTCCCATCTTCCGAATTCGAGTAAGGTTGCCAATGTTGCCCGTGTCGTGCTGCAAAACAATCATCCCAGAGGGAGACGCTAAAATTGTTTAGAGCCTTGGGTTTAGGCTTAGAGGCTTGGAGTTCAACGATCCTACCTAGGGAATGCGTGAGTGAATTACAGGGGTTACTCTTGGGAGTATTCTTGCTACATTCTGTACGAAACCGCGGACTGCGGCTGGAAGCGCACATGGGTTTAGGGTTTAGGGTAACAGCTACCACTTGCAGGGAGAGTCCAGTCAAGTTCTCTATCTTTCCCAAGCAGCTGCACTAAGAATCATGATGTTACCGCCGTCCTATGTAGATATGTACTGTTGTCAACCCCCCAAGATCCACATTGAAAGGTTTTGCATCAAATTCTCCTACTTAGCTTCAAAATAATAAACACGACATACTCTCATGTATGTATCAAAGGTACTGGCAAGATTATCCTTATCAAGGGACTTTTGGGGATGGACCCAGGACTGCCTTCTGTAAGTTTAGTATATTCCCTATAATAGGTCCTAGTAAGGAACCCATGTCCATTCAATTATGCAGGAAATATAGACTGTAGTTCATATGCAAATTTATACAGTGGATTGCCGAGAATCTGAGACCACCAGGGTAGGCTTGTGAGCCATCTCCCTTAGGCACGTCGTAGTCTAGGTGATTCTTTTTCAGAGGGGGTTTTCTAGGGGTTATGTTCATTACTTGGTATATATTGGGTATTGTGTTGGGGGACATATCTAAGCAATCATATAATGTTCGTTGCCGCTTGTTGGTGGTATCTGAGGTAGTGAACTTACGAGCAAAATGCGGAAATTGGATCATTCAGCCGCTTGATCGTGGACTATATCGATATTGAGAAGGTGTTTGCAAGCTGTTCCAGACATGGATGACCAGAGGATACGCAAAAAAGCTTTCATGCCCCTCTTTTTTGACTCCCCAGGCTATACAAGTAATGTCTGCTGCATATGCAGCGGTACCTTGAGCCCTGAGAATCTTCTGAAGCCGCGGCGCTTTTAATTTCACGGGCAGCATGCAACCTTGAGCTTGAAGGTAGCCCAGTATTGTTCGGGCGATTTCAGCTTAACC